CAGGTCTGACCTTGTGTTCTGTGAAGCTTTGCATGAATCTGTGCTGCACAAATATTGGGCTGATTTGCCTGAATTTCAGGCATTTTAAAAAAAAGTTTTGTTTTCTTGTTTTAAAATAATTAGATGGTCCATTTCAATTAATTTGTGTCAGAACATATTTCTTGAGGATAAAAAAGCAATTATTTTGAAAATGTGTTTGAAAATATTTTGATTCTTTTTACAGCATTTAGTTGCTTTCATGTTCTTAATGATGATTATAGAATAAATAGCTCAGGTATAATTAGAATGATTTTTCATTTATCTTTTTTAAAAAGCACAACACTAGAATGACTGCGAGAGTATATGCGTAATGCTGATTTAACAGAACAAAATAGCCTATATGTTACCAAATATATATTACTGAAAGTCTGAGACAATTAGTTTTCTAGTTTCTTGACAAACCATAGTGCTTCCCTTAATTTAAAATAAAAGAAATTATCAAGTAGATGTAAAGTTTTTAATATTCCATGAAGACAAACATAAAAAGAAAAATTCTTGAACTCCTGAGCAAAAGGATTGTTTTTTGTTTCAAAACAGCTTTGCTTATACTTTAGATAAAAGGATTTTAGACTTGGAAATTACTGCAACTGATTTGCCTAAATCAGTAGCATTGTAGACGTGAAATTATTTGTAGATAAGTATTTATTCTCCTCTGAATGTTGTAGGTAGGGAATTATTTCCTGTGAAGGAAGTTCATATTAATATTTAAGGGAATTTTGCAACTTCTGTTCATTAATTGTAGAAAATGCCCAAGTGCCTGTGGAGGAAAAAAAAAAAAAAAAGATAATGGTATTGATATTTCATCCTGACGGTCTCAAAACAATTTGCAGATTGGTAGTATAACCACAGTGAAATGCACCCAGCTTCTTGGTGGAACATGGCAGCTGTTTAATAGCCCATAGCAAAACTATACAACAGCAGGTTGTGGAAAGAGAGATGAATATGGATCAAATACAAATTGGCAGTGGAGGATTTAGGTACTGTACTCAAATTAAACTTAGGCAAAGTGAAATCCCATTAGAATATCGAGTCTGTGTATGAACAATCTTCGCACTCTGTCTGACCACAGTGGGCTAACCACAGGTTAACCCACGTGATAGGTAGGCAGGGACTGTATGCTGGAATGTGGTACCTGCTGTACGCTGTAAACCAGTGTGTTTTACAAACAATTTTAATTGTGAATACTTTGTTGTTTGCAGTTGCAGAAGGGTTTGTTAAAAACATTTGATGTTAAAATGGGTGCCTGAGGGGCATCTTGAGTAGATGTGACAATAGTTTTGAGTGGGAGAAGCTGAGGTTTTGACTCAACTATTTAGTTTTAGCCATTGCTTTTTAAAGAAAGATGAATGCTGTCAGAGAAGGCTGTGCTGCTAGCAGATGCCCCTCACAATGATGGCAGAAAGGTGTTTCAAATTTATTAGAAAAAAAGTGTGACCTAAGAGAGACCATGAGATACTACCACATAACATTTCCCCTAGGTTTCTGTTGGTTTGAGCTGAATTTGGACCTATAGCTGAGGCTGTGATCTATAAGTCTAGCACATCTCACTGCAAATTCTTTTTACTATTTTCTACATAATATGTGAAGATCTACAAACTTTTCTTACTCTGGGAAAGTGTCCGGAGACCCAATTGCACAGTAGCTCTCTGAAGCACATGCCCAATTTAAAAGGAGCAAACATGACTTGAACAATTTTTCATGTGCTTTAGTATGCATGTATGTATTTATTTATTTATTTGGATAATTGGGTTTTCCCTCAGCTAGGGAAAAGCTGGTGTTGCTGACATTACAATGTGTTTGTGAAGAAAGACTGATACCAAAACACATGCAAGCAACTGCAAGGTCATTACTTACCAGCATAATTAGAACATCCATTCTGAAGAGGAAAAACATTTAAAAGATAAAGAGTGAATTAAAAAATGATTTTTTCCAATGCATTTTTTTCATAATTGTAGTTTTAACAGCTTGTAGTGATGGTAGAAGCAGCTACTTAAGAAAAATTAGAAGCCTCATTTGGGGGAAGATGATCCCTCAAGAGACCTCGTGTTGTCATTTCTCAAGAACCGTGAGCAGAAACCACATTCAGGATGCTGTATGTTGTTTTGATGCATAGGAGGTATACTTAGCTTATTATGGCCAATGCTGGATATTTTAATTAAAAAACAACACAAAAGTCAGAGATGTATTGTCTCCCCCTTGTTCCTCCCCCTGTCTGTGTGCAAAATCACAAGTGTGCTCATGCCACTGAACTGCAAGAAGAGAGTAGAATTGCAGATGGGCAGGAGGGCAAACTGCAGAATACTGAAATTCATGTATGACATATCTTAGCATCAGACTCCTTACTGCAGCTTTTTGTAGTTTTTGGTTTTCTGCAGATGTCTAAGGGAGGTTGGAGAAGGAGAGAGAAAACAAAACAAAACCCAACCAGTCACTGCATTTAATTTATGAGCCAGATTATTGTTTTACAAATAACCTTCATGATAAATAGAGTCTCATGGCAACATTTTCAACTGTGCTTTTATCAAGACTCTCTGAGCAGTGTGTATAATATGCCTGGCAATCGAATCACAGCTGTACGCCTTGGTAGGGAATCTCTGTGGAGACAACACTTCCTTAATTTAAACAATTGTAGGCTGCAGGAGTTCAAAAATTTCAGCTGACTTTAACTGTCACTAGCCCAAGCACCTTTATCCCCAGGCGAGCAGCAGCAGCTGGATTTCATTTCCTGCTGCCAGACTGTCCGACATCTTTGCTGAACATCCCAGGAACCGAGCGTCTTTACTTTGAGGATTTTATTCAAGGTGACAGCTCCTCACACTTTAGCGTTCAGATCACCTCAAGTAGCTGAGATATCAGTGAAAATGAGAGCACTTCTCCAGCAAGCTCCAAATTTAGATTGACTGAGGTTATCCTTAGGCCTCTAGACCCAACCTCCGTGACAGAACAGGCCTGCCAGTAACTTTAAAACTACACTGGAGTTTGTAATGATGTCTGGGGAGAAATATTCTGCTGGAGCAGAGGAGAATACTATAAGCGATAGGAAATGATGTCAGATTTAGTTAGGGCTGAAGACAGCGCAGGAATATACTTGGCATAATATGGCACTGGTATCTCTGTCAGCATCTCTGTTTTCTGTCACCGCACACAATTCGGGGCCTGTCTGTAGTCCTGACAGTGTCTTTTCAGATCAGGTTATTGCCAACTCCGAGACTCGCTCAGTGCAGCACCATACAGCCCTCTTTGTTTGAAGTCTGCCCTTTTGTCATTAATGCACTTGATGTCTATTTAAATCTGACGGTGAATGCAGTATCTGTTTTCCTGTCAAGAGATCATTGACAATATTAATACCTCATGTCCTTGCCTCATTTTCTAAGCGCTGACACCTAGCTACAGTCTCCAGCATTCATCAAACAGCTCTCTCTCACCAGCATCTCTATAAACAGTCTCTCTTCCAGTCCTCAAGAAATGCGGCAGACCTCAAACAACACTTCTATCAATGCCAGGGAAAAAGCAGTCTGAAGAATACCATTAATAAACTGATCATATCCTTTACATTTAGAGCTCCAAACGGCCTTGTTACCAACCTAATGCCTGCTGCAGTTTGACTTGGAATACCATCTGTTTAGGGGAAAATATTTGCTTTTTGCTAGATGCTTGTTTAGGAATGAAAACATCACACTTTAAATGTGAAAACTGCTTTACTATTGAAATGATGGAAATTGAAATGGTGAAAGCTCTGTGGAGAAGGGGAGTGGGATCAAGCTTTGCACTATATTGTCTCCACTTCTGCTTTCCTGAGATGTGTTTTTCACAGTGAGTGACAGGACAATCCATTTTTTTTCCCTATAAGAATGTGTTACTGTCCTGTCTTAGAAGGGAAGAAGAGCATGGGTTACATGCCCACAGCCCATGCCTTTCAAGACTTTAAGTTCTTATCTGGTGCACATTACACTGGAAAAATAGATGCAGAATATAAAAACTTGCATACTTTATTGATACTGCAGGTGGCTACAATACCTGCTGTGTGAGTTGTGGAAAGCCAGAACTACAGGGAGTTGAGGGTCAGCTCCTCCCCCATCTTTACCCTTTACATACGGCAGTGACTGTCTCCTTTTGGCGAGGTTATATGTGCCCTTATGGGGATGAGCTAGGTACATCAGTACTTGCTGTGCTAGACATTCCCAAGATAGAGGAGACTCTTTCACCTTACTTCTGTGTGTGAGAGGTGACTTTAATTTGACTGTCTGTGCCTGGGGGAACAAAGAATAACTCTGCTAGTAAAATTTAGCATCTTTGAGGATGTTCACAGGTGGGATGTGACTGTGAACTTACGCTTTTGCATACCACTTAGTACCACCAGAGGGGATGCTTTTGAATAAAGTCGTGAGATCTGCAGTTATGTATGTCTCACCCACAGCAGTTAAAGCTTCCTCAGGCATCTTACCTCCTGCATGCACAGAGAATAATGTGCCTATTCTCCCAAAAGTAGTGTTCTGGCTGATTTTTGAAAGCATTCTCCATGTGCACAGATATTTAGCATAGTTAACTATTGGAGTTGTTTATTATTCACTGGGAAAACCATTTTAACATATAGTATGGAGACTGCAGACAGTACAAAATGTGAGTCCAATCCGTGCTCTCTGTTATTCAAAAGCTGCAGAGGTTTACTGTGATTTAAAATACAACATATGATGTACCAATGTGATTCAGTTTTTGAAGACATTTGTGGATATTTGTTGAACAAGATAGCTCACACAGGTATCCGAGCACACATTTTCCCTGTGGGTTACAAACTGCTGATTGAAATGGTAATAATGGATATTTCCAATGAACAAACTTTTTTTTACAAGACAAGAGAACTGTTCTCTTCCCTCTTTTAAATTTTTCAATTCTTTTTGTGCTTCTGCATCACTTTCCTAATTGTAATTTCCTAATAATAATTCATTTCCTTTTTCTTGTAGGCATCTTGGGAAAATGCCGCTACATTTACTATGGAAAACATTCTGAAGGCAACAGATTCATCCGAGACGACCAGCTATAAAACACTGCACTCTTTCATGCCACTTCAGTCCCTCCACATGAGAAGCACGAATTGAATCTAAATTTTAAGCCTGTAACTAAAGTCCTCTAGTGCCTTCTGCTGACTTTGCCAGGCCTGTCAAGATCATCCTTCCATCTCAGTCTGAGTAGTCACATAGAGATTGACATGATTGCCTTTAAGCAGGTCCCATCCACCAGCGTGACAGACAGCTGTGGCAGAGCACCCGGCCTGACAGGAGGAGCCCAGTGATGGATTGCCCAGTCCAGCTGCTGCACGCAGGAGAGCTGGGGTCACACCTGGGCCTTCACTGAGCATGCTCCATTGGCTGGCGCCACACAAAAGCAGCATGTTTATCTCCTCCTCGCCTGTTGAGTGAGAGTGCTGGTGATATCAAAGTGTTTATAAAAGAGTAGGGCTGTAATTTCAGATGAAAAAGCCCCTTATCTGCTCTAAGTTTTTTTTGTTGTTTTTTTTTTTTCCTTGTGAATTAAGTGCTTTTGTTTCTATCATCTCCTATATGCTCACACAAATCCTCTTCATAGGGTGTTCTTGGTTTTTCCACAGATGAGCCTGTATGGATTATTCTTTCTTTCAACAGGAAAAGATATATCCAGAAAATATTTCATCAGTGCAAATTACAATCAATTTATATTTTTGCTTATAAGGAAAGGAAAAAGGTTTGAACAGCTTTACAGACAAACAAAATTTTCTAATTATTAAATAACATCTCAAATTTATTTACCTTGATCTTCAGAAGAGGGGTCATTTTTAATACTGCAGTAGTAGCATAGGTTCTCTCTGTAGTCGGAAAAGTACTCGATTATAATATTGACAATGTATATTATTCCTGGCTTATTATGCAATATATACTTTATTTGTGTAGAGAGTACATGTAGAATTAAACACTTAAATTTGGAAGGAAAAAAGGGCTTAAAAAGTGGGATGTAAAATAAAATTGCCACCAGATGGATATGATTACTCAGCAGGGAAAAATGTCAATAAAAGTAACTGGCGGAATTAACATAATTAACAGCTTTACTAATATGTTCTGGAGAAAAGTTCTGTTTAATCCCATTTGAAGTCTACATAAGAAAGGCTACTGTAAGGTTTTCAGTGAAAAACCAACAATGCATAGCCTATTTCTTGCTTCTCTAAAAAATGGATTGAGATACTTAGAATCACGAGCATCTTTCTGTGAAAAATGATCCTGATAATTAACAAATATATCATGTTAAGTGCTACTAGTTACAGTGTGATTGGCATAGGAATACGCAAAAATACTGTCCTCTGGGCTGTTCATAACACATGCATATTGTTCCTGGCTGAGTGTCATCACTCTCTGGCTGCATTTGGCTTGACTGTAATTAGATGGTGCTCTTAGTTTACTTTCCTAAAGGATAAATGTTAACTTTTAGAAGTTGTCCACTGTTTTTGGCTATTGTCAGCTGTTCTTGTGGGTAGAAGCAAACTGGATGTTGAAGCCAATCACAAAATTTGATCTGTGTAAAATAGTGAGACTGATGGAGTGACAAAGGAAAGCTTGCTGCTACTGAGGGTTTGAGGCCTTGCACAGTAACTGGAAGACTTCATTCACTCAAGAAGTCTGTAGTAAATGAAGCAGATACTTAAAATCTGTGATGAACAATATAGAGTGATCTAGTTCATACCACCTGCGGAGCGTGTCTTGTATTCTGAGTTTAAATTGAACACTGAGCTGCTTGCTATATAAACTGGTGTCTGGAAAGTAGGCTTTGGTCACTTGTAATGACTCTGCTAATTTCCTGCATAGTTACAGTGTCCTGCAAGTTATCCTAGGAGATCCTAGAGAAAGGAAAACTACAGGCCTTTTTTTTTTTTTTTTTTTTTCCCAGAAAGAGTCCTCAGAAGTATTTAGGGCACTTGTCTTCTCTCTTGGCTACTGAAATAACAGCAATTCTTGTTTGTTCATATTGTATTGTTCTTTTTGAAGTCTACACATGTTTTGGCCATGGCATATTATAGGCAGCAGGTTTTGAATACGGGTCTTTAGAATAACCTAATGTCACTTTCAGTCTGGTTGCATATATGTTCTTGTCTTTATAAAAGGCTTTAACCCTGCCTCAAACAATAAACAGCACTTGCAAACTGACCGCATGATTTTTCCATCTTTATTTTGCTTGTTTACTTTGCCTAATGTCAAAACTATTTGTATCATTTTCAGAAGTGTTTTCTTCCATGCAAAGCTTTGGAGGCAGAAAAATATTTTTGGAATGAGAGATCTGATCGCAGTACCATCCATTTTAGTTTCTGTTTTGACTTGAGGAATTATATACCTATAGTTAAATATGATAAAGCCCTAATTACAACTTACTTAAAGGGAATTCAAATTAAATATCACTGATTATGGAAAATCAAAAAGATAATATATGAATAACAAATAAATGTTAGAATATTGTTTAAAATCTAGTATACATGCTTATTGCTGTTTATATAAACATCAATCTTTTTTAATATGTGTAACATTTTATTTTCAGATGTTTTTGCTTCTTCTGTGTGGTGTCTTTAACCCACTGGTTTAGCCAGAATGGGTTTAGCTAATGAAGATAATTGGGCACTAAAAAGAATTGAAGATATCTTCAAACATCTGCCTCTTGAATGCCGAAGTAGAAGTCCATAAGAAAAACAAGGAAAACCCTGAAACAAACCTGCCTTTCCATACATGTATTTAGCAGTTGTAAAGCTCTTCAACCTTTTTTTTTTTTTTTTTTTTCCCACGTTTTCCACTTTGTCAGAAGTTGCATGTGTTCTGTATGGATGGACTATGAAGGAAGCTTGAGCAAAAGTCTGCCAGCTCTTAAAAACTGCACAGTCAATAAATGGTACACAGACACATGCAAGAGCACTCACAAAGAAAGGAAAAAAAGGTAAAAATAAAATGTTTGTTGGCATGGAAAGACTTTTAGCTTTAGTAGTATATTCGACCTTTGCAGTGGAGATAGAAGTTTTCGAATTTTCTGAACTTCTCTGAGTACAACTGCTATTAAGATAATTAAGGCAAGTTACAGGTTTATTTGGTAGCATAATAACAAACATTTATTGTGCAAACTGTGCTTATGATGTTGAACTAGTTCTCCTTTCTTTAACACAATTACTTGTTTAGAAAACTCATTGAATTTCAGCAGAATGCACTGACTTTATTGAGCCCTGCAAAGTTACTGTAACAGTGTGGTTTCTTTGAGTCTTCAGTGTAACTTATATGATATGGAAAGGAAGACTTTCCTTCATGTCATGTTTCAGCATTACCTGAAATGCTGAAATCCGGAAGAGTACTTGGATTTTAGGAGGGGACACCTGTGTGAGAGGCAGCAACACATGCAGGTGTCCTGCCAGTAATATTACCCTGGAGTGTCCTCCTATTAAAAAACAACTTTTGCATGCTCTTTTGTAATTGAGGTGTTTCTTAGAAAAGAACACCTTCTGTTCTTGCTATCCATTCCCAAATCTTTCTTAAAACTGTCTCTGGCAATAATTCTTTCTGTTGGTCAGTTCCCATCTGTTGTTTCTTCTTGAGATTGAAGTTCTGTGCTGATGAAAACATGTACGTGAGGACACGGCAAATGGTAGCCTCAGCAGTGCTGGGGCACAGCTCTCTTTCCTCTCTCCTCAGAGGAACCTTCTCCCCAAGAAAAGGATGGCTAAGTGGCTGTAAATTGTAGCAAATATAGTGCAGAGGAGTCATCCAGCATGTATGGCAGTCCAAAAAAGATGACCACCTGTACTGTGTAGGCTTTAAAGCTGTTATGTCTTGACAAGATGAAAGTCAGGATTATGATCCTTTTCTCCTCCTCTGCCCTGAGGGTGAGGTGGCAGCTACCACCACGTTTCTGAGTCTTCAGAGAAAGAAAATGTGCTGCACAAACCAACCCCGAAGCCCCTTAGTTAACACCTCTTGGTATTGCTGTGGATACAGTTGCTGCCTTTGTGGCTCCTGGGTCCCAAAATACCTTAGTGCTCTTATCTCGAAACAAAAATGTTAACTTGTGCTTGACCAGCCCTGCTAAACAAATAGTGTAGGTTCATCCCTACTGTCTTATTTCAGGTAAGCCTCATGCCAACATCCCAGTATTTGTTTTTATTCCAATAAGAGGTGTATGGTGAAGGCTAGTGGGACAGACAGAGGGAAAATGACACAGAATTGTCTAAATCACTGGATATTGGTCTTATGCTGCTCCTGTTTAAGTCTGAAGAAAGAAGCAAATCTACCTGTGCTCACGACATTTATTTCTACAAATTACAGGGTTCACTTGCTGCTGATGAGTATGTTATTTTTTTTTCCTGTCAACTATATATGCATCTTGGGAAAAGTTTACCTCCAGCAGAGCTTTGCTAGATGTAGCATTTGTGGTGAGGTTTTGAATCAATGCATTTTGTATAGACTCAGACTGAGCCTCAGCACTTATTTCTACTTTATGTGGTGTGATAGCCTTCAGCCTTCACTGCTTCCCCATTTTGGGAAAGATTATTATTTTTTCTGTTCATCCATCTGTCTGTCTGCTTTGTTAAAGAGTTGGCATATGTGAAAGATAGAGAGAAATTTAAACTTTCCTGGAATATAGCTATTTGTAGGATCATCTGGGGAAACCACAGTGACTCAGGTGATATCAAGTCAGGGCTCTTGCATGCTCTTCTAGCTATTGTCCTCTCTTTTTGTCCTGCCCTGTCTTTATGTCTGCCTCAGTTGTCATATCAGTGTTCTGCAAGCAAGTGATGACATGAAGTAGTAGCTAAGTGCTCCCATTTTGTTTTTCAGATGAAATTTCTGCTTCTCTGTTTGTGATATAAATATTGAAATGCATAGTTTGCTTTTTATAGTGTTTTTATATATATACCTGGTAAACATTACCTCTCACTGCATAGTCTTCTTCTGGTACTCAGTTAAAACCTTTCTTTGGGAATCCTTTCTACTCCTTATAATAGGAATAAAACAAAACAAACAAGATATGACTGTGAGAAAACAACCATACACTGTAGGACTGTGGCCGTTCTGTGACACAGATGGGCACTGTTATACACAAGCAAGTCTAAATCTCTTGAAGGGCCAAGCTGGCTTATGCCATCTTGTCTGGGACCTCTATTGAGTTAGCCTGTAATTGTGAGTAACTGATATGGCCTTTGATTTCCTTATTCCACTTTGGCAGTATTAGGCAGTTAGAGACTATTGTCTCACCAACAGTTAATACTCATTTTACTTCTAATATTATTAGAAAAGTCTACAAAGATCTCAGATAATGAGACTGGTCCACGAAAAAAATGGCTTCTTGCAATCATTTTTAACTTGTTCTTAAAAAATCTTATATTTTATTTGGCATTTGTTATGTGAGAATGGGCAGGATACACCCACCACTTCTATTTCATCAAATCTATTTGAATTAATATCTTTTCCATGCCTGGTACTAAATAACTGAATCTTTCTAAAAGTTACCTTTTAGGTTAGGTGACTCTTATGGACTTGCCTCTGGTAGTGTTGTCAACCTGAAGCTGACCCTTTCTTAGAGTTGCTGACAATTAGATTAAGGTTTCAGATCAGGATTTTCACAAGCCTTCAAGGAGCAGATATTTTTAAGGACAAACTAAGTCATGGTCATGGCACATTCACAAAATATCATCATCATCTCAACATCCTTAGCATTTTAAGGGAACAGCATGTTGGAAAATATATTTAGTTCCAAGTTGCTTGTGTTCATAGATTATAATGTAAAAGTATATTCTATCTTATCGCATTCCATGCAACGTTACTGCTGTGAGAGCAAGTTTCTAAATATGTTCTAAACATCCTCCCAGTGCAAGTTTAAGATTTCTTGGAAATACTTTACATTCTAATTGAATGTTTTGCTGCCAATGTAAAACCAAGTTTTATATTAATTTTAAATTTGTGTAGAGAAAAATAATTAAAAAAAAAAATATATCAAACTGAAATTGACATAGCTGGTATAACTTTTATCTGCAATTGTACTGTTACTTTTAAATTAACATTATTTTTTGCAGTCCAGTATTTAAGGTTAAATACAGGAAAAACAAAGAAAGGTTAATATATCTGAATACAAGCTGCTTATACATTTTATAGGCTTCTCGGATTTTAAAAGACCTTTGCAACAATGTGTGCATCCAGTTATTCAGCATTTAGTGTATATATCAAGTAAGAGGACAGTTGTGGACTTCAGGGAATTTTCAAACACACATGCTGTTCAACCTTAGTAATTTTCTTTTTACCTAGGAATTGTTTTCAGAAATTCCCATATAATGAAATTTCTGTTTAAGTTGATAGCTGTAAATGAGGGCACAGTTGCTTCATTTCCTTTTGACAATAAGCCAAATTCATCCCTGGTGGCACTCCATTGACTTAACTCTACTTGAGCTAAGCTACACTGGGGATGAATTTGGCCCAGCTTGAGGGTTTTTTTATTCATCTTTTCTTTAATTTCCTTTAGCTTAGTAGTCTATTTAGGGTTGGTCAGAGGATTACAATGCAGGAGAGGGGAAAAGAAAAACTTCTCTGCTCAAGATCATTTCCTTTTTAATACTCTACTGATTTAGCCATGACTTGTAATGTGTTTCAGGTAGCCAAATTTCAACATCAATTTTGGAAGAAAGTTCACTATAGTTGGAGTCTGTTTCCTTGGCTACATCCCAAACCACCAAATCACCACCTACTATACAATGTGGATATTACAAAAGGCAATTGAATTGTTAGTGAGCTTGGAAATATAGATAAACTAAAGTTATCAAGTGGTGCCTGATGTGTTTAGCTTGAGTTCCTCTAATTACACACCTCTTTGGCCATTATTTCACATGAAGGTTTAGCTGCAACATCTGTAATATCTAACATACCTTCCCCCCAGCTACTGCTCGTTGCACTTGGGTTTCTCAGAGTTGGGTGGTTTCTGTTCATGTGATGCTCATGCCAGTCTTTTAACTTTTATTTCTTTTTTAAATAAGTTTTGGTTATTGTGGGTTCACACCCAGTAAGTTTCAATTTTGAGCGAAAGCTGAAAGTGTTGTTCAGCCAAAACCACTACTGAGCTGTAAGTGGTTTTCACCTGAAACTGTAAATCAGCTACATTCACTAAGGAGTTAGCAAACCTGGCCTGA